CAAATATTTACCTTAGTTAGTATAGTTATATTATATATAAATTAGCATAGTTTATTATACTTATATTATTATTATAAGTACAATAATTTGGTATTTCTGTAATTTTGTAAGTCAAAAGATTTTATTTAGCCTGTTAACAGAAATGTGAACTTGTTTCGCTTTGAGGGTAAATTTGTTTTAATGGAGCAAACTTTTTTTAATAGGTTATTCTTGGTTAAGTTAATTTTCTTTAAAGTTATTTTGCATTTCATTTTATATAATTCATTCCAAAATTTCTTAAAACGCAACTTCTTCCCATTTCTCTTGCCGTTAACTTTTTAAAGTGTTGCTGAAATTCCACAGTAATTTCGATAGTTTTCGTTTTAAATTTTCTATTTCTTATAAAATATTTTGCAGAAAAAGAAGAAAAAGCAACTAGCATTCCTACGTTATTGCGATTAGACAAAAATTGATAAATTTATTAAAAATCACCTGTGTGAAAAAAGTGATAAAACATATTTGTTTAACTAGTGCAAATAAATAAAACATACCAAGTTGTCATTTCCTTTATTATCTACCACTTTTAAATTAAAAAAAACACTAAAGGCAATTTTAAATTAAAAGGTTTAGGTATTTTTAATGCAAATCATACTTGATCTTTCCCAACTTTTTCTTAACCCCTTGGGGACGGGTGATTCAGAAATGCATTCGTACAAAATCAGAATCAAGTTGCAATTAAATAAAAAACGGTAACTTAAATGTAGTCGTTACTAATTTGACAGACTTACTTTGCTTTTATTTTAATTATTGTTAGTTTAATAATATATATAATCAATGTTAATTCAAAGCATAACTAAATAGTTTTATTTTGAACAAAGTAATGGTGAATTAAATAAATCAAACAATTATAACTCCGCCCACAAATAAACTGCTAAAGAAATACTTTGATTACCAGTTTTATCTTTTCACCCTGATTGATACGGTTTTTTGCTGTCACGTATTTGTGACAGTCGGCGCGAAAGGGTTAAGAGCCAAATGCCTTAAAGCAATTTAAAGATCCTTGCACTTAAGGCAATGCGTACCCTCTACCCTGAGCCTGAATGGTTACATATTTACAACGATGGCTCTTTGATTTAAATCTCACTATGTCGGAGCAGGAATATATTCTTCCATCAGTGGCAACAGACAATACTTTGCAATGTTTTTCTCATTAAAATAATCTTCGACAGTCTTAAAAGTTGATTCACCTTTGTTATCTACAATTAACAAGTTGAGCGCCACGTCGTGGCTGACACTGAAATTACATTTAGGCTGTGTCTGCCACCGCTTGCTGACACTGACTTTTCACATAGGCCGCGAAAAACAGCTGGCTGACAGCGTATAACATGATATAGAGCTGTAAAATTTACTTTCTTTTATGGAATTGCAGAAAATTTATTCAAAATTTACTTAATTATTGTGATTCTTGGTTTGATAAATTCAATTTAGTAGATTTTTATCCACCACTACTTTGAAACAATTCGTAGGTATATATAATTCACCACTTTTTTCAGGTATGTCATGCCAGAGGATTATGGGGGAAGCCACTCTTGCACAGTAACATCTTTTTTGACTTGATTTGAACTTCTATTTGAACTCTTATTATTATTCAGAACTCTAATTTTCCATACAGATTATTAAAATAAATACTGCATACTGCCCTTTCAAATTAAAGTTGATCATACTAGATGGCGCCACTAAGGCTTGACAAAATTTATGTAAAACCCTCACGCCTATGAATCACGACTTTTGTATATATATAACCATCATTTATTCATGCTCATATTCAATTTTCTGTACATATTTATGGCAATTAATGTAAATATCGCTGTTCAAGTTGTAATGTTTTCTAATCAAGGTCATATTTTCTGTACATTTTTTCATGGCAATTACTGTAAATATCTCTGTTCAAGTTTGTATTTTCTCTAATCATGGTAATATTATTGTAAAGCTACCACAACGACTGCTTATATTCAAAATGTTTTTAACTCATTTTTGTAGTTTCATGATGAATGGGATAGGGGCCGCTGCGCGGCCCAGGTGCCCAGCTGTTTTTAAATAAAGTAAAGTAAAAGGTATGTCATGCTAAACCTTTTATTTGCTAGCAAAATCTGCCTATATTTGCAAATTTAGCTAGTAGTTATTTTCCGTGTGGCCAGACGAGCAAGCCATGTAAAATTAGCGTGGCATTCAACGTGTTAAGCGTCTTGCAAAAAGCATCTCTTGAATAATTTTTTTCTTCTTTCACAAACCGAACGTATCCCCACAGTAAAGCCTCATTACTTAGCAAGGTTGACTCATCAACTTGAGGGGAAAATTCTTTGGATATCAAAAGTTTGCAAATTGAAACTTAACCCTTTCGGGACAGGCGAGTCATGAACGTAATCCTAAGGAATAAGTATCAGGGTGGTATAAAATAAAAAGCGGTAGTTTGGGCATAGCTAATTTGACAGATTTATTTTTGCTTTTACTTTAAATCTAACACATCCAAACTATTTGCATACCTGCCAACTCTCCCGGATTTTGCGGAAGATTTTATTTTCATATTTAAAGTGGTAGTAAATATATACTATTTTTTCTTTTATAAATTTAATTTTTAAATGATTTTGATCACCACTATTCTTACAAAAATTAAGCTTATATATTAATATGCGTTATTATCATGGTTATTAACTAAACCCAGACCAACAAACTCGAAATAGTTCAAAACAAAATTCTAAGACGCATTACCGGTGCACCTAGATACCTGCCAAACATTAATATCAAAAAAGACCTCAACATCGACCCTATTATGAATTTCATTAACAAATTAAATGCTAGCTTCTATAGCAAATCTAAAAATAATGACCCAGGTGGATTCAACACCCTACTAAATAAAGAGCTTATTGTGGATATGAAAAGCCACAACCCAATCACTGCATTTATGCTCTCTGATTGTATTCTATCAAAACACTACAAATAGTGGCCACCCTTTTATATATATGGATGCTCGCAGAGGGATGCAGAAGGGTGATCCTTGACTCGCGAGCATACCACCCCTAGTCTTTTACCTAACTTTTATATTGCCACTCATACTACATAGTAACCACCATATATAAGGACTATTCACTCTTAGTATATACTAATTCGTGACTTCCGCTTCTGCGTTTTCGCTCGCCACTCTACCCTTCTCTCCATCGACAACATTACAGGCGCCCACGGGCATCACCATAGATGAAAGAGTCAATTGTCCGCTTCGCGGACAGGCACTCTGTACACTACTCCAGTTCAAGTTCATGGTTGTCAACTTACTTTTTTTCAAATACAACGTATTTGTTTGCTTAAAATTGAAGTTTTAATTCCATTTTAATACCACTGGGAAAAATGATAATGGAAGGAATTAAAAGTTGGCAGGTCTGCATTTGTGTTAAAAGTGTAACTATACAATTTTTAATTCGAAATAAGTAGTGGTGAATTAAATAAATCAAACAATTAGAACCCCGCCCACAAATAAACTGCTAAAGAATTACTTTGATTACCAGTTTTATCTTTTTACCCTGGTTGATACGGTTTTATGCTGGCACGTATATGTGACAGTCGGTGCGAAAGGGTTAAACGACTTCAGCCATCTCATCAATGCGTCACAGTGCTGTATCGTTGCTTAATAAGATATTTTTGATGACATTAGATGCTGCTGGATGGTGTAAAACAGCTTCTAAAACGTTTTTGACACTCGGCAGTATCAACTCTTCGCCGATGGTATGAGCTTCCCAAATTTAGCAATTAATTTTCATACATTATAAAAGGCTATCAAACCATCGTCGCAGTTTTGTGATGAGTTTAGCTAGTAAGCCTAAAACCGAAGATGCCTTCAGATACATCTATTTGGTGTTCGTGAAAAATGACAAATCTTTATTTTGTTTGTCAGGAGGAATTTTTTGCAAATGCTTCTGCAAACGGGAAGGTTACATTGCCTTATTGGATAAAACTTTGTTACAAAGTAAACACACGAGTAGTTGAGAGTTCGACCAAATCCGACCTTCGTACATGACAACGCTTCTTTCTGTTAGCCGACATTGTTGGCAGGAGCAAAATACAAACTATGAAAGAAAATCAACTATTTCTCAAAATTAATAAATAATTTACGATAAAGAACTAATTCGCGTACGTTCCTGGCCAAATAAAACAATCAAATTGAATCGAAGCAGGGGAAAGCGAACGAAAACTACCATATGAAATAGATTCCAAATTAAATATTCACAGTGAGAACGCATACACTTCAATTTTCGCGAAATGGTTTGAATGAGTCAGAGGCAAAAACATCTGACTCTGGTTCGGTTTGGAGAATAGGTGTCGCATAAATTCGTTTTATTGCTGGCACAAATGGTGTATCAGATACACTTGATTTATTATATTAACCTAATATTTTTTCTTTTAAATTAATTTTGGATTAATTTTATTTATTAAATTAATCTTACTGTAAGAAATTTATTTGGGATTTTAAAAATTAAATTTGAATGAGACTACCACCCAAAATAGTAATAACTTGAGTAGTGTTAAAAAAATTAGTTATACGTTAAGCATTTAGTTAGATTCATTTTGTTAGGTTGTTTTTAGTGGTAATTTAAGTAGTGTTGAATAGTTAGTTATACTTTAATTATATATTTAGATTACTGTTCCTTTTTTTCGACACTAATACTAAAAGATATATGAGATCTCTATTGTTAACAGAATCATCCTTTTTTACCCTTTCCGGTACAGCAAATTTTGATTGAAAATTTTAGTCTTTGTTTCGATTGAACATTATCAATTGCACCCTTAGACAGTACATACTAAGTGATGCAATACTTTAGCTCTTAGTTGCTTAAAGAACGAACCATTAGCTCTACATTTCTAGTAGTTTGTAATATTTGTTGAATAAATGTTGCCAGACAGGCTTATACTGTAATAAAAAAGGGTTAAAAGTATGTAGACACAAATGGACTAGAATAAACATACTAAAATTGAAATGTACAACAATACTTTTATTAATGTTTAAATTGCAATATATTTTTTACAAATGAGTCTTATAAAATGATGCACACAAACTAATGAGATCACAGAGACGATGCACTCCCTAAGCTCGTAGGATAGTTTCTTGAGTATTTAAAAATGAAATACTCTTTCTAAGGAGTGTTTTGTCACGTAATTGAATGAAATAATGAATGATTTTGTTAAATCTAGAAAAAAACGTCATCATTTGATTTCTGATTTGAAGGAATAGAGAGGATTTTCAATTGCAGTTGCTCCTTGACCCTGCAAATAAGAACATTATATTAGGTTAACTATTACTTGTAATGCAAAAGTGTTAAAAATTATATGCAAAAACACTATTGATAATCCGCAGGCTTATTATTCGCTTTTCAATATATACGCTGTATTCAACTAATACTATTTTTTCCACAATATAAATTGTTCGATATGATGCTCTGTCCTATAAAATCATTCCACGCTATTTTGTTAATTACTTCAACGATATGTGTGAGATTTTTTATCACGGTCTTTTGAACCTGTGAAATTTGATTAAACAAAATATTACCTTCGTGAATTGTTATCCCACATTATATTATTAAGGGATCCGGAAAGTAATGTCGCTTCGGTGCATTTGATTTTTTTTTATCAATGTTTTATTTTTAATCAATAATGTATTCACAATGGTTAGTAACAAGCTTTCAATGCCGGATTGAAAATGAATCGAAATAGATCGGCAAAAAATGAATTGGTATTAAGGACTAACGAATATTTAATGAGCTGAAATGACATTACTTTCCGGTCCCCCTAATACATTACACGTGAGTTTCTCTTCAACGATATATTGCGTTCTCAAAATTTTTCCCGCTCTATTTTGTCATTGGGAAATTCCTTTAAACGAAACATTGACTGCGAGAAATCTTATTTCACCGTATATTATTCCAGTGTAATTATGTATAACGATATATTGCTCAGGCAGGATTTCATCCAATGAAGTTTTATTCATCGATTATTAATTACTTAAAATATTGTCCCACAGTACTTTTTTCTGGTCATATTGAAGATGAAATGTCGTGACATTATTGGTGTATGTTTACCATTTTTCTCAGCTCTGCCTCATTAATCTCTTCTCGACTTTATAGTTCCAAATGTTATACTACAGATAAATTTAGCAATTTCATGCTGCATGCCGTACGGTGACTCACGTTAGGTTGGAGCAAATCCTCTAGAGCAGCGATTCCCAATTTTTTTCGACCATGGTACCCTTAACGATCGGCCAACATTTTGAGAAACCCCGAGACTTAATGAATAAATTTCGCTAGCAATTGTGCAATTGTTAATTAATGACATACAATTATTATTGTTTTGAGAATAAACACTGATTTAAATTTTATCAAATATTTTGAGAATATTTAATAACTGAAGGAACAATGAAATTTTTTCATCAGATCGTTTTATCAATATTAGTCTAAAAATTGGGTTTAATGTTAAACACAGTTGAATTTACAGGTCTGGAGTGGAATCTAGTCTAGATTTTAATTGGAATTTAGTGTCTGAATAAACTAAAAATGAATGAGCTGAAATATGGTTTCTGTTTAAATAAAAACAAAAACTGACGAAAATAAACGTTGAGGATAGTTATCAGAGAAACATATATTGTTGGTTCAATGTTAAAATAACACTTTTGCACTCACTTCTCATGTTATTTAAATGAGAAGTGGGTGCAGAAGTGTCGCTTTAACTTTGAACCAGCGATATGTACTTTTCAACTGTTGAATTTGCTTATTTTAATTGAATGTGAAATACGAATAAAATTTTTCACATTCTTTTCGCAATTCATTTATTATGTAGCTATTGGGAAAAAATATTGTTTTAAATTTTCTTCATTCACAAGCATTTTAATTATATAATTTCACAAAAATAACGGAAATATTAAATTAGTAATAAATAATAACTAATTGGATTTAAATTTTATCTCAAGTTTTGAAAATTATAACTGGTTTAAAAAAAAGTCCTTAGTCTAGGAGCCTATTTCACCCTAGGGTTCCGCGGGACAACTTTTGGAAACCGAGATTTCTTTGTAGTTACTGCAGTGCGAAATGCTTTGTGAAAATGCTAAATATCAACAATAATGAAGTACTGACGAAAAACCAAAAGCGAAAAGTTTTTCACAATCGCAATGATAAAATGTTTTAGTTAATTAAAAATGTGAGGTCGCTTTTTAGACAACAAATATAAATAAAATTGATTGCGAAAATAATAAGCCCTTTTGTTCAATTTCAAACGAATGTGACCAGTTTCAAAAGAGAGAGATTTAAAAGTTTAGAATTCAAAAAGTTAACTGAATACTATTTAAACTTACATCTTCATTTCTTACTGGCATATGCGTGTTCAGTTCTCCGAAGGTGAGCTAAAAATGAATAAAAATTAATTTAATGAAAGCAAATATAATGGAAACACTTTTCAAATTCCAAAAAATTTATCATATTTTTGATAAACCAATATCAAATTTTATTTTGCTTTTTTATGTAGATGAATAATCTTATCTTTTTATATAAATTATTTGTTTAAAAAAATTACATTATATTAAAAAAATTATTATATTTTTAAACAAATGAATTATAAGTCATAATCATAAGTCATAATTTTTAAAAATTCATATGACAAATCAACGACTTATTTCTAAAAACTAAGAAAAAAACTCCGAAATTTCTGTTTTATTCTCTAGAAATATATTAGTGTGGAAAGAATTGTTACACAAATTTTTAAGAACAATTTTCTTCAAATTGTCTTTTGCGTATGCAAAACTACAAAACAATTATTTACAAAAGCATTAATTACACAGAGAAACAAATGTTTTGTTGCATTAATCTATGAATGCATGATCTTACATAATTTGGATGAGAGAATAATACTAAAATTAGTTTTCCGTAAAATTCAGATTTTTTTTTTTAAAGAAATGCTATTTTTAGTTTAGTTTATTTCCTGTATGAATGTATAAGTTAATAAAGACCGTATAGATTATATTAAATAATAAATAAATAAAGATTGCTATTGAAATTTTCTGAATCAACAGAGAAGATAGCGGGATGAAACACATAAAATGATCTTGATTGTCTGATGGAACTAGAAGGTGTTATTAATAACCACCTTTCTTTAATATATCAAACGATTTTTGACATTTTTAATCCTGCTTCAGCTGTTAATTATTCGAAATGATTTTAATAGCATTTTTACTTTTTTCTCTCTTATACTTATACTTATATTTATAATTCCCTCCGCCTGTAAACGCCATTTTTATTTCCTACAGCTGGCTTCAGTGGTACATGTTACTGCCATCTACCGGCAACTGCTTAAATTAAAACTTGAATACTTTCGGAATAATTTCATATGTTCTTTTTTGCCATATTCGTCTTCGTTTTTTTACTATAACGCTTCGAAACCCCGGAGGGAATTATGAATAATCCTGTATATTATTCTGTGACCACTAATATAAATTTTTTATTTCGTTTTTGCTTAGATTTAACACCAATATATTGGAAGCGGTCTTTGTAGAACCATTTGAACGAATGAAATAATAAATAGTAAACTTTTATTCAATGGGCACAAAGGTTTTGTAAATAAAAAATCGATTCTTACCGTATCTAAATTCAAACCATATACTGGATTATCTACAGCATGACCTAGTCTGGATCGTTCCCTAAAAATGAAATTGATAATTTTAACAAAAACAATAATTATTATGAGTAATATCAGATTTGATATTTGTGATTTTAATGCAACTCGAGAAGAAGTGGAGTGATTATGCCTAACCATGTGATTTAAATCAGATTTAAATGGATAATTGGTAGCGACGTCACGCGCGTGTGTGTCGCATCTGATTAGCTTCTGTATCAACAAATGCTACAATGTATTTACCATACTTCACCTACAGGTATCCAATTGGGTACTGGCAACTCAAAAAGATCACTCAGAAACAGATAACTGACATATGACCTCAGCTCCAGCTGGTTGTTTATGAACTATATGGCATGTTAAAATTCTGAATATTGCTGGCGAAGGTCCGGCTTCATTTTTCCGCAAAAGTTAAAATGTTTTTTAAACGGAAAGTTAATTAAATACACCCTATCGCGCATCAAATTTGTTAAAATATAATTCTTTCCAGTCTATGTCTCTTATTTAGCCTAGATTTATAAATGGAAGAATAATATAAGCAAATGTTACTTTTTAGCAGCCAATCAGGAGAGATACACACGTTTACGTCATTTGCAGGTATCTAACTCAAAAGATTTTACAAACTATTGATTATTTAGTTTCATGATTAAATGTAATATATTCCGCCAATGTTTTCTTAAAAATAATTCTGAGATGTTTATATATTTGATACAGAAAGAAACAAAATATTCCATCATTTGTATTACAATTGGTAATAAATTGAAATTTAGATTTTAGCATATATTAATCTTTCACTTTCTTTTTGCAATTGAAACTTAAAAAATGTAATGACTTTTAAAAGCAAACATTATTTTTTCTCTCCTTTAATCAGCACACTTTTATAGTTACTTTCTTAAATTTTGGGAATAATTAAATAAACATCATATTTGCAACTTTGTAGGTCTTGCTCTTAAAAGGTCTTAAAGTCACACAGAAAAATCTTTTTATTATAAATTTCTTTGTATATTTTTTGTAATAATATAACTAAGATAAATTTATTTATATATAAGATAAGTTTATAGATATCTAAAGTTTATAGATATTTAAGATATCTAAGATAAATTTATTTATATATTTTTTTGCTTGTTTTCCGTTATACTATTACAGTGTGTTCCGCTGGTGCGGGATAGCCTGGTTGGTAGGGCGCTGGGCCCATCTCCAAGTCATGAACTAGATCTCTGCTGGCCTAAAACTAGCTGCGTAGTAAATGGTGACTGGTGCGCAGTAAATTTGTCTGGTCACAGTGACCTCCATGTTCCCATAACAAACCATACCTCTGTAGGTATTGAATTGGAGATTGATTGCTTTCTTTAGATCAAAATTACGATCTATGGATGAATGAATGGGTCTGCCCTGAAAACGGCAGTGATGTATGTGTGGCTGAAGTCGTACTATTGACCATAGATGACGCCCCAAAGCGTTTATATCCCTTTTGAACAAAATTATATACAATATGGTGATAGCAACAATGTTATAAATAATATATTTACTTAAATTACAATACTTACGCGTTAGTATCCCTTTTGTACCAAATTACAAACAAAATGGCGATAAGTAATAATGTTCCGACGACAACTCCAATTATCCATCCAATTCCAGCACCTGAAAAAAATATGTTATGATTATATAAAAATATAATAATATTACATTATAATAATATTGCATTATAATAATATTACATTATAATAAATTAGATAAAAATATATTACAATGATATTGTAATAATAAAATTGTATTTTTATATAATGATATTTAAGATTAAATGTTAGAGCCATAAGAACCAAAATTAATGATAATACTTTTCTTCTTAAGTAATTAATGAATTAAAATTGTATGGCAAAGGGCCATTCTCACTACGTATGATTCACGAATCTGATAGGTGAAATACATTCTCTGATTATTTGATTGAGAATCTTACTTGTAAAATAAAAATTATCAGAGAAAAACTAGCCAATCAGATTCTTTTCTCACGACGGCTATCTTAGGTGCGTTAATCGCATGTACTTAGAATGGCTCTTAATTGCAATTTGATAATGTGATAATTATAGTAAATAGTTATAGTATAATTATCGTTTTAGAACCACGATTTCGCTACTTGCTGAATATTAATTATTGCCTATTTACCTTGAAGCGGTAATTCGTCTCGTTTTTCAATGATTTGTTTCTTGGCGCATCTGTTTTGAGCATAACCATCAGTGCATCTGAAATTAAAATTACAGTAAATTATTATAAATAACAGTATATACTCTATTATAAATGACAGTATGAAATAACAGTAAAAAGTACATTGTCTTCAAAACACTATTAAGCGATAAGAATTCTAACTCTGAAATGTTTTTATTATTTTCAAAAAAGAAAAATAATGAACAAACAACCAAAAATAATATTTCATTAAATATTTAATCAAAATTTTATCATAGCATGGATATTTTCCTATAATCAAGCATACGTACTATATGTAAATTTATAATTTATTTTTACTTTCATGATAAAATTGAGATTTTAAGTATTGCTTATATTATTTGCAAAGCATAGAAATATACGCTCTACAAATATTTGATTATAAAAATACTTAATTTAAGGAAATATATTATGTAACCACCAAAGAATTCTCGGTCCAAAATGGAAAATTTAGATATGAAATAAGAACAACGATAATTGAATCCGAGTGTTCCTATATATATATATATNTATCTATATATATATATATATATATAGGAACACTCGGACACAGAAACGAATTTCAGCGCTTGAGAATGCTCAGGAGCTAGCAATTGATGAAATAATAAAGATAAATATATATGCATGATTGTCACAAGCATTTATTTACTTCCCCTAAAAATTTTGAAAGAAAATTTCTTCTTCTTGACGTTTAAAAAAATAAAATTGGAAAATTGGTCCACTAACACTCTACAGTTTTTCAGTCGTCTTCTTCATTAAATTTTTCTCTGCTGTTCTTCTTGTCTATGCGTGGACATGAACCGCTTTGCCCCAACATGGCCCATTTTCACTGTGTAACAGTCCTCGGGGTGAACCGATTTTCTACGTTATTGATTTGTCGATTTTAAGAGCTCCCTTGTCTTCTGGACTTTAAAATTACAAGGCTAATAAGTTGATGCTGAAGTTGTAAATCAAAAAATTGGGCCGGCTGTTCAACGACGGTTATTAAATAAAATAAAATATAAATTTAAGTGTCGTTTTCTGAAGAATGGAGATAAATCTTTCCTTCCCCTTGATCATCGTATATAAAAGATGTGCTTTCCAACATGATTTTCATTTTGGAATGTAAAGTATTTTTGCTGCATTAGTTAAAAGTCTAATTTTATTTTTTTAAGCTCGCTTACTTCCAACGAAAGGTATTTTCATAACATTTATACTAACTATAATTAATATTTAGCATTGAATCTTATCATTGCTCATAATTTTATTTACTTTAAACATTTATTGGCAAATATTTCGGATCTATTGGCAAATAATATTTAATAAATCAAAATTTGCAGTTATTTTTTATGCAATAAAACATATCACAAATTCATCATATCATTTCAAGCAACGGTTTACTGTATTAATCACAACGAAATTTTAATTATATTATTATTTTTATTTGTCCTAAAAAAGTATTTTAGGCTCAATTGACCCAGGTTGAATCTGAACCAATTATCGTAGTTTGGCCCTCAACTTTAAATATTCTAATAAACAAAACTAAAAAATATATAATAGAGAAGCTAATCTGAAATAAAACATACTGGCAAACTGGCACTTTTTTGACTAAACTACATGTTCCTCCATTTTTGCAGAAATCTGGTGGACATGCTGTAATAAGAAAAAAACAATGTTATATGCTTAAAAAAGAAGATTTATTAATGTTGAAATAAGTGGCTAAATAGAATTTTAAAAAACATATAACAAGCAAGTAATAGTCAGAAGTTTTGAAACAAAATTTTATTCGTATAAGTATTTCAGCGTTATTACTTATACAAAACACGTAAGAACATATTACCCCTGATTAAAAACTTCATTCACTTCATATATATATATATATATATGTCGACGACTGTTATTTGCTAATTATATATTTTTGAAGCGAATGAAGTTTTTAATCAAGTAACGTCTTTCCAATTCAGTTTCTTGGGATTATTTATTTAACCTAAGAACATAGCCATAGGAAAGAATTAAGATTAGATTATAAGAACTCTCTAGCTGAACATTACAGAAAAGTCAATTCAGTCATTAGATTAGTCATAGCATTGCTTTCTGAAAATATAAATACTCTCGACAATGAAAACTATTTTATAAAATTATTAATTTTGCTATTCTAATAATATAAATTAGTGAAACCAAATTATGAGATCATGTATAGGTTGCAAAATAATACAACTTTATAGGAAATAAATAAAAATGAGATAATAATCCTGTAAAAAATAAATAACCGAATTCAATCTGATCGTTGTTGTTCTTTGCAGACTAACATGACAACTCCTGGTGTAAAACCTAGTTTTTCAAAATCATATCGATTTCGATGTTATGTTTTAATAACACTCATAACCGAAAATGCAGTTTTTCCTAAATAAGTTGAAGAAAAATGCATTCTCTAACTTTTGATACCGTATTAAGTCTGATCTAATATAGCTTAAAGTAGCTACTGAAGGAAAAAAATCGGATAAGAGAAGTTTTTTTTCTATCTTTTTGCTAACAAGTTGAGAAAAAAGGTCTTCAATCAATATTGCACAAATAACAAATATAATGTTATAGATTTTGCAGTGTGAATAAAGCTCACGGCCCGGTGGTGTTGAGAAACAGTACACTAAAAAATACATAAAACGGTTGAAAATAGTTTTTTTTATTTTTTAAAAGAAAATAAGTATTATTTTTCTACTTACTTCCGCAAAGACTCTCGTCAGAGCCATCTCTACAATCGACATGGTCATCACAAATATGATCTCTGTGAATACAAGGTTGGTCAAGAAGATCATTACAGAAATAGAACTTTTCTTTACATAACAGTGCTCGTCCTGCAAAATATAAATGCGATTTTTTAAGGACACAATCTTAAACCACAAGCTTCTTCTTTATCTGGCTGAAAACTTAAACTGATGGTAATTCAGGTTGTTCAAAGTAACAATGAGAGTGCAATCTTAAGGCAATCATTTCCATTTGAAAAAAGTTATAACAAATTTTATAAGGCTTGCAAATTCATAATAAGTTAGATCAATGTTTTAAAGTTCTCGCACTTTGTTGTTATTATTAACATTAGTATTATTTTTAGTTATATCAATATAATTAATATTTTTATTATTACTATTAGTATTATTAGTATTATTATAATTGGAAAAGCAATAGTTTTAAAATTGAGAGAATCAAGAACTCATGCTCAGGGAATTAGATATTTCGGTTTCGGTAATATATTACTTAACATGAGGGATGAATAAAAATACGGAAAACCCTCTATGCTAACTCGATGTTGACAATATTTCTTTCAGCAGAAAATGCTTTAAAAAGATTTTGCATTGCAAAAGTGTGGGTACAATTTAAAATATGATGTTTGAAGCTTTTAAAAATGGTGGCAATTTCACCCATGAAAAATTTGGATCGATCAAAATGTGAAGAGTAACTTTTTTTACCACCAAAATTTCAAGATATTTATGAAGGATTGCAACGTTTTTATTGTAATGTTTTTTTTATTTCATTTTAATGGCACTGAAAAAAGAACAAATCTTCTAATTTCCTTCCTTGGCATAAAGAACAAAAATCCTATTTCTGAAGGCTTCAAACATGATCTTTAAAATTGTAGCAACAGTTCTGCTTTGTAAAATCATCCAAAACATTTTCTGCTAAAAACATTGTTTAAATAGATTTAGTATAGAAACGTTTCCTTATCTATTTCAAATTTCTGCATGTCCTGATCTCCATATTTTCTTTTCAGTCTTGTAATTATTGTAACGATTTTTTACATTCGATTTTTCGCTTGTTTTTTGATTTTTCACTTGAAATTTTGAACTTGTTTAGCTTTTAAAAAAACTTATACTGTTTGTTTGATAACATTTGATTTCTTCAACAGATTCTCTCCTGCACATAAAAAAAAATCAAAATATAGCATTTTTATATCAATGACTTAATTAATTTATAAGTTTTGTTTCATATGCACAATTATTTACCTAAGCAATGTTTATAAATATGATAGTCCTTTTCAAGCTTAGATTATTTTAAAATTTCCTCTAATTTTTTAAAATGTACGGTATCTTTATGCAATTCGTAAATTAGGTTCATCAGAGTTTAGAAATTGTTTATTTTCTTTCAAAGCAAAGTTCAGAGAGAAAGTATTGTTAAAATATTTGTGATAGTTTCATTAAGTATACTTTTTAAACTTTTATAACTTTCCGTTTGTTTTCTCAAATCTCTAACAATAGAAGATCATTATGATTTAAACTATACTAACCGCATCCATCTGTTTCATCAGATCCATCTGGGCAATCTGGCACACCATCGCACACGTAAAGGTGAGGAACACATGTCTTACCATCGGCGCAAGCTTTCTGAGTAGAATTGCAATGACCCTGGGGCAAGATAGTAGAAGGTGGTACTGGACTTGTAAGAGACACCGTCGTCCATTCTTTTGGTGCTGTATAAGTAATAATATTTTAAGTTTAAAAGAAATGGCTAAAACTTTTAAAAGTTCAATTATTATGATTAATAATAATCTATATTATACAAAGTTATAATGCGTATGTGCGCGATAAAAAACCCGATCTAATTTGTTTTCTCGTGTTGGCAACGGAAAAAAATGAGCTGGAAGCGAAGCTAAAAACCAAGTTTACGTGTAAACAAAAAGTGGTAACGGTTGCCACCGTCCACAGGGTGACTAAAAATAACGAATACCGATTAAAACATTGTCTCCCAGTTTGGTAACCACCCAAATCTTCTTCAAACTGCCACTGGCTAATATTTCATTTACCTATAAACTAATACTCCATTATCCTATATTGGATTAATACAACTATAAGAATCTGCTGAATGCACTTAGTACGTTTTGTAAGTCGAAACAAGTTTCTTCTGGGTGTTACATTTAGGAGGGAAGTATTTTCTGACTATAAAAGTTAAGTATGATACGGAATCCTAATATGCAATATGTATACTTCATGCTGTGGTTCATCGCTCATAAGCGTCCTTTCAGCAAAGCGGACTGCAATAACGAAAGAGTTAAAATAATTTCGCATCCTATTAGCAATTGAAACAATTTCAGAAAGTGAAACACCCGTAAAGAAATGTCGAAAGCATTTACAATATTTGACTAGCTCAGTAGTATGCGTTTCTAGTATGATCTTATTGAAACACAGAAGATAATTTCGACACTTCGACCAACAAATTTGTTATTACATTAAGATAACTTACATCTGAACTATGCTTTAATTTACGAACTAAGATAAGGAATTTAGTTACAGCGACCCAGGCAAATGTAAGATGCCTCGTCGTCGACTTGAAATCCAGCTCGGCACAAGTACCAAGCAATATGTGGACACCGGGCAAGGCCCCGAGTCACGCGAGAATTGGAGCACCATAGTCGTGATCGAGAGCAAAGGATGTCCGACTGGTCCAAAACCTGAAGAGCGGCAGTGCCAAACCCTCCGCAGACGGAGCCAAAATTGGGTCGACAGCAGGAAGACCGCAGCCACCCCGCGATCCATCCAGGGCCCTAGGCCTGGAAGGTCTCAAACCCTTTACTTTATTTACAAAAACACAAAAATTATTAAATCAAAGTATTACAAAGCAAAAATCAAAATCGCAGCAGATTGAGAGTCGCCTGAACTGACTTACAAAACGGCATCATTGCCCTATACCAACAAAGATAAAATTAAAGTGATTATAAGAGGAAATATTTTAATTCTATCTTTCCTCGGAAAAGATCAAAGACATAAAATTATTCATTGTGCTTACGTAATGTAGAGGAGCATGTCGTTTTGCAGCGTAATTCGTCACTACCATCTTTGCACTCTGGTGCACAATCACACACGAAAGCTTCAGGAATACACTGTGAACCATCATCACAACGGAATTCATTCTTTCCACATTCACCAGCGGGATTTCCAGTAGGTACAATAGCTTCACCTAAAAGCAAAAACAAAATATATATATAAAAATAATCTTCATAATAAATTATATCTTTGAATAATAAAATGCAATTCCTTTTAAATTAGCGTATTCTTCTCGGGTAATAAAAAAAGGTAACTACGATCCCTTCAGATAGCAAAACAATAATTTATTTGATTATTAACTATTAATTAATTTATTCAATTTCGTAATTCACAAATTAATTAATTAATTAAATTTGGTAATTTGGAATTCGAAAATTTTTCTGGCAGTTATCATTTGCAAAGCATATTGTATGGTACAAGATAATCTGTGAAGTTGTTAATCTGTGAAGCCGCAAGTAAGAAATGAACAGAACATAACGACTAATAGATATTGATCATATTTTTTAAAAGCCTTCTGTTCTAAGAACTTATCAAAATGTTCCGTTTAGAAAATAGCATCTTGTTACCATTGCATTGGTTATTAATTTTCAAATTTCACAGTATTAACTTTGACATTAATGCAGTAAGTTCTAATTAATTAAGCTAGAAGAGTTATGTGTCTATGCTATTTAGTTATAACAACAAGTTTAACTCAAAAATATTTGCTAAAAACATAATAAACTTCTAGTATGCGCGGTGTATTTAACTCATTGGACTCCGATATACTTATTTCGGTAACATGTCCTACTTTTAAAAAGACAAAAAATTGGTAACTCTCCATTATTAATTTTTTTAAAATTTATTTTAGAGTTACTAAAAATAAGTGTCCACCACAATATATGAATAATTTAAAAATCTTTATTTTCGAGCGAAACCATATAAATGCAAAATCTGAAATGGAGAATTTCTTCAAATGTATGCTTTTTTTAGTTCATAGTTAGAACTAGAAAAGCAGTACATGGGAAATATACATTCTTTAGACTCAATTTCCACAGCAGTACTCATTCTCTAGATTACAGAATAATTATCGTAAATCAAATAACTGTGATGTATGATTTTAGCTAAGAATTTTGAACTATTCTGTCCTTTTTTGGTCTCAACCTTGCTGAAGGATTGCTAAGCAAGCTGTCTTCAATTTTTACTAATTCATTTGTGTTTTATATGCTGTTTTCTATGTTATCTAAGAACTATATATTTTTCTCTAAGTTTTCAAAGTCTAAGCTTTCTTACCTCCTTCTTCACATCCTTCTGTGAAACTGACTTCGTCTATGGCTATGTCAGTCAAGTTGTCTCCTCCCCTGGTGGCTACAAAGACAACTCTGTAGCGTTGGTCATGTCCTACCATTGTGTGTTCATACAACCACTTGTCTTCTTGAGGTCCCCTTCTGATCCATACAGGCACGCTGTGTCCATTCTCGGCCTCACTGCGGACCTGAAAAATAAATTGATCTCATTAATACTTTGTTCATGAACGATACTTTAATTTGCCATTTTTATGTTTCTACATGAATTATTTTCTAGTTGCAAATAATTGTTTTTTTCATCAGAGTCGATCTTTTAAATCAGTGGTTCACACTCACACATACACCGAAGAGCCATTACATTATGACCACCTTGCTAATAACATGTAACATCCACCTTTAGCCCTCAAAACTGCTAGCACCTGCCATGGCATTGATTCCACAAGGTGCTGATAGGTAGTCAGAGGTATCTGGTACCAAGCGCTCAGCAACTGGTACCGCAATTCCCTCACATTGCAAGGGGATAGCGTGGCAGCACGAATTTGGTTTTCCAATTAGGACGACAAATGCTCTATTGGATTAAGGTCAGGTGAATTTGGGGGCCAAGACGTGACTTGAAAGTCACTGGAATGTTCCTCGACGATTCAACCCTTATGACATGGTGCATTATCCTCTTGGTCGACACCATCCCCCGCAGGAAAAACTGTTGCCATGAATGGGGGAACCTGGTCAGCAACTATGCTCAAGTAGCTTACAGACGTCAGGGATTGTTCTATGAGGATTATGGGTCCTAATGTGCCCCATGAAAACATTGTTCCTGGCCGAGAAACCATGACAACCTGGGCGAGCCCATTGTTATAGATGGAGGGTGGTCATAATGTAATGGCTCTTCAGTGTATATATTGTATGTTACTGGCAATCACGATTCACAAGTGACGCGTTGGCAGTGTAGTCCAGGATTATGACCAAGCTTTGCCATGCGAATAGGTCGGTTCAACTTCATTTTAAAAAATAAATGTAAGAATAAACAACTGAAAGTTTTTAATGCTAAAACTGTTTATTTTCAATTCAGGCTTATTGACTCTCTTGTAGAGGGCAAACAATGTCAAAAATCCTATTTAGGTTTGCTTTATTTATTTATTTTTCTTAGAAAAAATAGTTTTTAATTTTTATTGTACAGTATATTTTACTAATGACTGACATGTATGCTCATGCACTTCATACATATATTTTTCTTATGTATAAAAATAGGAATATATTTGTAAGTAATTTTTTTACTTGTATATTTAATAGTTCATGAGAATCAATGTTTCTTTTTTAACAAAGTAAGTGGTAACGCACAACTCGAAAGATTGGGAATCACTGTCCTAAACGGTTTGGAAATGTGACAAAGCTTTTTCTGTATTGCTAAAAGACCTGATAATCATATTAAGTTTCGTAAATTCTACCAACAGGAATAATGATGTCCTCTCTCCTTCAACATCAAAGGTTTAACATTACATTAAAAACTAGTTTTGAATAAACTAACATAAATAAGCTTTTTAAATGCTAGTCTGTTATCACTAACTAGTGTATGAAGAACTAAAAAAATATAAAATAATAATTTTACCTCCAGAGGTCCTAAACTGTCAGATCCTTTCATGAAATACCAGAAACGTAGATGACATTTGCCTTCGCTTGCATTAAAGAATGGTGTTGCTATACCAGCTTTCTGGCCTTTCCTTGCTAATGAACTGTCTATGTATAAGTAGTAACCTAAATTTGCAGAGAGAAAAAAAAACTAGATGTTAGAATGCTTTCAATTTTTTTAAAATCTTATAATTGTTCCGATAAAGCTAGCTTCATAAAATATGCAAGATCTTAATAACCATTTAGAATACTTCGTATTGCTCAAAGTTATTTTCAGCATTCTCTGTAGGAGGTATTAGTTTGCAAAATATACAAGAACTTAATATCCATGTAGAATATTTCGTCTTACTCAATGCTGTTTTCAGCAAGCCTTAATGAGCAGCGTACAGTGTCTCTAGAAGATTTGTTATAAAACTTCCCAAGAGGTAACTCTACAAGGGGGTATTGTAGAGGTAACATAGTCAGTAGAGAAAATTGGGAGATTAACTTAAGTTGATTGGTCATCACAAATGAATTATTTTTGAAAATTATTTTTAAATTTTTCCTAGGTATAGGAGAAGTCTCCTCATGAGTGGCTCATGAAGTCTGCTCATGAGCGGCTTCAGCTGCAGAAATCTCAATCAGTGTCGGTGAAGGAGTAGTCTCAGTTTTAGGAATCTCAGGCTGGGAAGAAGGAAAAGGCTGAGAGTCGATGGTGTTAGATGATTCAGTGTTGATCTTAGATTTTTCTTCTTCCTCTTCTTAGTAGTAGATGTTTCTGTAGGCTCTGAGTCGAAATCAAGCTGAGGGTTAATCTCATTCTTGCTTTCAGAATTCTTTGAAATTGAAAACCTAATACGGCTTTTCAGAATTCCAGTAATAATAATAGCAGTCCTATTAATCCTATCAAGGCTGATCAGATTTTGCAGGATGGATATAATCGTCTTCTTTCAAATCTTTTATTTCTTCTTTGTCCGGAATTCTCGTCTCGTAAAGCTTCTCAAGATCACTCGTTGAGAAATTGTTGAAAGCAGCAATGGTGAGGACTCTCAGGGTAACAGGCTCCCCACCCGCATCTTTCGCATTGACGGGGAGAGCATCCGCTCCCCTCCGCGGCCTAAGCGTCTATAGTAGTCATCGTTGTTCCGTGCTCGGTCACAACAGTGGTTTGTAACATCTGTTAAATTAATATTACCAGACTGTTTACACTGCACAGAAAAAGGACTAAAAAGAAATGTGCATAGGATTTTCGATCTGAATCTATATTCATGATGATGTTAACATATGGTGGTAATTTTGTGTGAACATTCAAATTAACTAAAAGCTAATATAATTTTAAAAAAAATTTATTTATTTATTTTTATTTATTTATTTATTTAACTTATTTATTGTATTTATTTATTTATTTGCCTCACATTCCAGCATTGATTCAAGTTATAAAACTGTAATGCTTACAAGGTTAAATATTATGTACTTTTCTCTATTTAACTTTCGTTGACGACTTCAAAAGACTATTGTTTTATGAAAAGTTCGAAAACTACATTTTTTTAAATCTCGTGATTACCTTCTCTTGTCGGATTTCGATGTCTTTGCGGTCCAGTTAAACTGCTCCTGCCTTCATTTGCTCTCTTCCAGTCAAAATCCATGTCTGATGATTCCCATTTGCATAAGGCTTCCCAGTTTTCTTTATCAAAGTCACAATCTCCATGCCTTAATTCTGTTAAAAACAAATAACACATAAATTTGTTAAACAGTCAAAATATTTATCAATATGTTAATTTAATCGATATGTAATATATCGATTTGTAAACATTAAAAAAAGTTTTGTTAAAGCGTCTAACTTAGAACAAAATTTGAAACTATATTTAGAAAGTAATTAATGAAGGTTTTTTTTCCAATATTTTTACAGATATTTTTAATAAGCAAAATCTTATAAAAACACGAATAATATGATATAACCCTTTTGAAGGCCGTGGTAAGTATACTTACCACCACGTTTTACCACTTTTAATTCAGGTTTCCATTTTTCAATAACTTCAGCTTTCTTGAGGTTAGTTTGAATAAAATTGGTAACCATTTGTCACTTTTAAAAAACTTATAAAAGTTATAAAATACATAATTCCTTTTAAAGTTTGTAGCATTTAAGGAATTTATTTTATAAATAAAGAAAAAAAAAGTCAGTAAGTTCCTAATAGGTCATGTTAAATATATTTACCACCAAAAAAATTGCATTTTTACAAACTAAATGAGTTGTTGTTTTTTTTATATCAATTACTGTTCTTAAAACAATTTCAATTCCAGAAATACTTTAATTTACCTTTACTAGAAATAAAGGGCCCATTAACGGGTTAAATAATCACTTAATTTAGAATTTTTTTATTTTAATTAATATTCTTTGTCGTCGATGTCAATCGATATAGCAACTGATTAACTCTTCATATTCCCATATTTGGGGTAAAATAATTTAAATTTTATTATTAGTTAATTTGGTTTAAAATAAATATGATGAAAAGTTATTTTGACCACCATTTATTCATTAATCACTGTCTCATTAGTTTAAATGTTCATATAAAATGGTTGTTATATATGAGGTTATAGTCTTGATGTAGCAAAATTAAAACAATGTCTATAACTAACTATAAAAATTCCATAACTAACTTTAATTACTTTTTCACTACTACATTAAAAATGCTTTTAGAAAAATTAAAATCTGCATTTTAAAAAAATAAAGAAACAAAAATTATTCTTCAAGTAAATATATTTAAAATTGAAAATAGTTTTACAGATTTAATTTTATTTATACGTAACATTTAGTTGTAAAAATATTTTTACTTCTGTGTCTCGTTTTTTTATTTATTTCTATAAGTCAACTGGTATCCATACAAAAAATATTTTATAACTTATTATTTATTACAAATTATTGCTTATTAAAAGCTATTGCTTTATAAGTTATTGCTTAATAAGTTATTATAAGTTATTGTTTCATACAAAATAACTTAGAAGTTGATTATAAGCCCTTTGCACTCCGACGTCACCTCTGAGACGCCATCAACAGTCTCCACTCCAAAATAAAATTTTTTTATTCCTTTATAATTATTAACCTCATCATTTTAAGAATTTTAAAAATTATGTAAAACATACTATATATTTGAAATAATTTAGTGCTTATAATAGTTTTATAAATTTTAAATGATTTAGAGCTTATATTAGTTCTATGTATTTTAAATTATTTAGTGCTTATATTAGCTCTGTATTTTAAACTATTTAGACCTTTTCTTAGTTCGAACACCATTAAAATGTTCTCGGAGTGCAAAGAGTTAACTATCAAAATACTTTTTATACTTACTACAGTCAAATTCATCAGATTTGTCTCTGCAGTCAGTTTTTCCATCGCAGTGTTGCCATACTTTGATGCATTGTTCTTTATCCGAACACATCCATTCGTCGCTGAGGCAAACTTCAGGAGGATGTTCTGAAAATGAAGCAAGTTATTGTAAACCATAAAATACAATACAAAATAGATCAACACATAAAAAGACATTTAAAATTTCTCACCAGGTGAACATGTTTTAAATTCGATATCATCAATAGCTATGCTTGCGAATAAGTATGATGATCCTAAAGCATTTTGTATGATAACAGCAAAATTATGTTGCACACCTATGTTAACCTCTACGCTTTTCCATTGTTTGTCTGTCTCTTTAGTTTCATTCCACAATCTTTCATACTGAAATAAAATAAAAAGTTTTAATAAGTTTGTAGATAAGTTAAAAAGTAGAAATGATTTGTCAACCGAGACAACTTTGCCTCGATTTTCGAATCATTATTTTTGAAAATTATTCCAAGCACATTTAAAAAGAATTTCATTCGGTAGTAGAAGGGTATCTGGCGGTGGTTTAATTAACTTTTTTTCTGAAAAGGATATTTTCAATTTATTATTATCATTTGAACTCGTTTGCTTGCTCTCAATTCAGTTTAATTTATAAATTTTTCAGGAAGTCTCTCCTCGAACGAATCCAGGAAGATTTCAAGCTCATAACCGAGTTTATACAATATTCATAAATTCCTTAAGAGTGACTGTTTCTTTCAGGTGAACTTATATTTGTCTACTTATGAAACAGCTTGCATAAAAACACAAAAAAAAAAGAAATATACAAAACAAAATTTATGAATAATTTAAATAATTAAAATAACTTGTTTACACAAACCTTGTTGTTTTTAGTGTCATGCAACAGAATTATTGACAGCTCTGCTCCTCGTGTGTTATCCAGGAAGTACCACATGGACATCTTACAATTGCTGCCAGATATTACGTAGATCTGTGTATGTAGCTGAGCGATTTCCCTTTCTGACACCTTTCTTTCAACAGACAAGAAATAACCTGAAACACCATTCAAAGTGTTAGATATTTCAATCACCTCAAATTAAATTACATAAATTATAGCGTATAATAAATGAATTTATGTTTTGTAAAAAAAATTAAATATATTTGTCTCTATTAATTCATTAAAAAAATATAAAAAAATCAATACGTTTATATTAGGTGATACGATTAATAGATTATTATAAAAAACATTACGTTTTGCTTCGATCTGATTACGAAACTAGGTGATTTTTCAAAATTAGTTTCGCAGCGTCTCTCCAGATGGCGCTACTTACTTTAAAAAAAGATATGTTTTAAAACAACCGTCATTTGCATAAACAGCGCGATGCTGTCCGAGATCAAATTTAAGTTCAGCATTACTTGATTGTAGCTGTCAGAAATTGCCGAGTGACTTGGTGTTAACAGACGCTATTGAAAATATTTGATTTATAATAAACTAGTAAATAGAAGAAGAAACAAATTCAAACTTATTTTTAAAGTATTTTTTAATAAGAAGTAACATCAGTTGGCGACTTTATAACCATTTTTGAGACAGTGATGAAATTGGACTTATTTTCCAAGACAGGCTCGACAAACCATACATTTCTTACTCGTTCCGTTTTTTTTTTTAAATCGATTTACAGATTTTTCAAATCGTAACGTATTTTTTGGAATGTCCGTAACGAAGATGTTGCGCATGAAACGTTAATAATAGCACGGAGTATTATAACTTTAAACTTGCAAAACAGATGCCTCAGTTCAGAAATTGCTTGTAATTATGATTAAAAGTTAATTACCCTCTCCTGAACCATGACGATCCTTCTTTAACTCTCCAAAATACTTGTTCTTTCCTTGTTTACGTTGCCATTGGGTAGCGTAGCCTACTGGATTATACCAGCCACACGTACTGTTTTCAAAGTCACAAGATGTTCCTATAAATGGAATTGCGTTTAATTAATTAATCGCAGATTTCTTAGATAAACATGGAATAAATTTTTTCATTAAACAAAAAATGGCTTTACCGCATTCCGCTTCATCTGAGCCATCCTGGCAATCATTAATAAAGTTGCATTTTTGAAGTTGTGTATAACATCCTTTTTGGTCTTTGCAAGAAAGCTTAGGGTAACAGTCGTCCAATGGTGGTGAAGTTGTAATTTCTTTTCCAGGAATGTCCCTACCTATTGAGATATAAATTCGTTAGACATGTGTCCATATGAAATATTTCATCAAAAAATTGAAAAATTTACATTTTTAAGTCAAATTTTACACTTCCTATGTATTTTAATATATGTTGACAGCTAATAGCTTCAATGCCATACGAGATGCAGCAACAACAACAAAAAAACCGGACAACTAAATTTTATAATAACTTTATAAAAAAAATATAAAAAAATAATAAGAGTAGACTTTTACAAATAAAAAAATTTAAGTGGTTTCAAAGTGACTGTTTTTCGCAGCAATACAAAAGTGTAAACAGCTTTTGAAAATTTCAGAAATGGACAGAAGTAACCATTGGGAGAGATTCCTTTTAACTCATGAAAATCTCTTGACCATTCTTGACCTAGCACCTCAGCAATTGTTAATGTTCAACATCGCCAAAATCGGAAGTCGATCTTGGTTCTGGGCAGATATTGCACAATCGGAAAAATACCTCTGGTTTTACGTGGCTTTAAAAATAAATAAAAACATATACCAGTGGGACATTTTAGAAGCTGTCGTACTTCTGTTGGCCAAAACGTACCAAACGCAACAAGCTTCCGCATCAGCTCAAAAGGCTATAATGGCAAAAAAGTGGTGCATTTTCAGGACATGATGTCATCTGAAAAATGGTCACCCAACTCTCCAGATCTCAATCCCCTGAAAACAGTGTATTGTTCATTTATGAACCTAGAGCCTGCAATAAACGCTCAAAAGTTTCGAAACTTTAAAGCAGTCGCTTCCGTGAGAATGGTATAGATTGAAGGTTGAAGATTCGTTACCCATTGTTGAAAATTTTAATAAGCGTTTGAGCCTTTGTATTACTGCAAGAGTTGACCACTTTTAAATTAATTAAATTCATTTATTAGTAAGAGTCAACTATTATTTTGCTTCTGGTTTGTTCGTATAACTGGTTGTTTGTTGTCCAAATATTTTGCCGCACCTAGTTTATCCGTTCCAACTAAGGGTCAGATGAAAATGCGTGTTATAAGAATGTTAAATTCGAACATTATGAAGGGAATAATTATGAATGATATTGAACGATTATGAACAGAATACAGTTACAAAAACTACAGATAAAAATCAACAAAAAATTTTAATTACTATTATATATATCAGGGGTGGCGAACCTTTATACACCAACGTGCCATTTTTTCTTAAAAAAACTGTTTAATGATATCATAAACGTGCCGTCGAGTAATTTTGACTTCGTGATTATTGGGAAAATAATAATACTAAATACTATCAACTGCAAACTATTTACATTGAAAAAAAAATACATTTTGCAATGTCTTTAGTTTTATTAAATTAAA